AACTGAAAAATATATTTATGTATATATCAAATATTAATATTTTCAGACTAACTTTTCTTTTGTGATACATATATGTCATAATTGGAGTTGCACACATGCATGTATCCAAGAGTGTGTCGACCAACGCCGTGTTGTTGGAAAATTACAATATATAAATATATAAAAAGATTTATTATATATATAATGTAATATACTATGTGTTGAATTCTCTTTATATCTTTATATATTTAATTTTTTATATTTTGATATATTTAATAAAAAATCTACTTCCGCCACTAGTTGCATTTCTTAAACATCTCTCGAAAGCTAATTTGTTAAAGATATATCTTCCTATTTGTTTACTCAAATTAGGAAAAATAACACAATTTTAGCTTAGCTGCACGGAACATGTTCATGCTTTGATAAACATCCAATTCTAAACTTGGACAAATAAATATCAATACGTGGTCTTTTAGAAACATATGGGGATGTAGCTCAGATGGTAGAGCGCTCGCTTAGCATGCGAGAGGTACGGGGATCGATACCCCGCATCTCCACCTTTTTTATCTCGGATATGAGCTTCCGTTTTATCCACCCTGAATACTTTTTTTTGATCTCGGATGTGAGCTTCCGTTTTATCCACCCTGCTACAATACAATGTGCGAAATCATCATTAATATCCCGCTCTCATTGGATTATGGACCCAATTAGATAAATTTTCACTTATATAATTTCAATTGTATAATTATATCAAACATAACTTTAAATTTCAAATAATGTTTTTCAATTTGATTTCAAACATTATTTTTAATAAATATCATCAATTCATGTCCAACAACCTACTTATAACTCTCTTGATGTTGTATCTTTGAAATTGGTTGTAGCTACCTCAAAACTATACAATAATTATAAGAGCACATTTTTGCTAAACATCTCTTTGTTAGGTAAATCCACCCATTGAAGCGTAAGTATATATACCCAACTTTCCTTCATAAATGAATGTTAGATGAAAGTTGGGGAGCTAATCAAAGACGATACTCAACACAATAATAGTAAGAAATTAACGAGTACTTAGTTCTAACAACTTTCAATCCACGGATAAGGGCAAATTTCGTATTTTTACAAGGTGTGTGTTGTAATGAAAATCGTGAGGGCTTGAGTCAAAGAGAATTATATTATACTCACTATGTTAAGAGTATATATCGTCATACTAATGGTTCGACGAGATGAGTATGAAGATGCCAGAGTGATGGACATAAGGTCTGAATTGATAACTTTGTCTAGCTATTATTATTTAAAAATGCATACACAAAAAGAAGTTGGTATGCTTGGATCGCGATAAATACTCGATTGATATCGGTGATACAAAATTAATCTCCAAATTTACTTATGAACAGTAATGAGAAGTATTTCAAGGGGGAGAACAAAATCCTAATTGGTAGCTGAAAAAAAGAAAGAAGCTACTAATTAAGAAACTCTTAATGATAACCAACTAAGTTTAATTCAAAATAAATAAATATCATCTTACCATGTTAAAAATATAATTGGACTTTATTAGCCCAACAAATTAAAGTGATATCTCACCACAAGTAAAATTGCACTAATAATGGGGTCTCCTGCCTTCATTACCCAATCACACAGGCTATATCAAGTTGAATCTACTCATAAATTATATATGATTTTAAAATTTTAATTTAATTGGCTTTCTTTGTGTGTTGTTGGTCATTACTTTTAACAAGAAAAAATAATTAAACATGAAATTAAATTTTATGCAGAAGGTTACGTGAAACTCATGTTTGCTTTTATCTCTATATGATTCTTTCGTTGTTTAGTGAATGCTAAAATACAATTCATAAATATAGTTTTGTCTAGTTCACATTTTATAAAATTTGAACTTATAACATCGAGTTCTGAAGATTCATGTTCTATCAAACTAAACTAAGAACGCTTTCTTATCAGAATTGACACTACAAATACTAATAAATCATCCGTGTAGATTGCACCAAGCCACCAACATTAGGTTATTTGTGGTCTTATTGCAACTTTGGTTTCTTGTTTAATTAGCAAGACAAAAGAAGGAATTAAATAATAAGGAAATAATCAACCACTAAATTTGAGCCACTGAATTAGAAAGTATATTTTAAAAAGTTCAGGATTTAAACATTTTTGCGTCACTAGTTTACGCAATATTTTCTTTTTTAATGGCTCCATTAGTTAAAAAGGGACAAAACCCGACTATATCGCAAACCACATGGATAAATGTGTGGCATTTTTGTATCGATAAGGGCATTGGTAATTTGATCAAACTCTCACCGACAAATAAAAATTTAGATTGTCAAACAACTGAAACTATTAAGATTTTTGTACCCCATTTTTTACGAAAAACAAAATATAAAAAATACAACTAAAGTATAGGACTCAAAACGTGATAGCAGTAGACAATAAGCCAAAATTGTACACTCATATTTCTTATAGGTTTTTGGCCACTAACCTCGTGGCTCGAGCACTGTGCTTTACCAGTGAGATTTTGAATATAAAAAGGCAAATAAAAAATAAAAATAAATCAGTCATTATCTTAATTCTTAAAATGATTATTTTAATTATTCATTTACTTAATTATCATCATGCTGCCCATGTTATGCATTTTTGCCAACAAAGTCGTAGTTGAATTATTTAAAGTACTTTTACCTTTTCTCTCAATATTTTCTTTTGTCTTTGATATTCTATAGGAAAAATTCTCCTAAAAATGTTTTTATCCTTTTAACACCATGGGTGGGCTAACTTTTCAATTTTTAAAATCCTACTAAGATCATTTCAAGTTGAAAAATACATTAAAGGAGGATTTTTCTTTATTATGTTGAATTTTCACCTATTACTATAGTAAAAGTGTAATATCAGCTAGTAGACTAAAATAACTTATTCAGTGAAATTTCATAAGTGAGTTGATGTAATATAATTAAAGGAACAAGAACAACGATTGCGTATCTTATAATTGCAGCGAAATTTGCTGATCTGACTGCCAAAAGAATCGATCCAAAGTCTTCTTTTGTCTCATTAGGAAACAAAGTGTTTTTCCACAAACTAGATACCTTTCTTGATCTTGTTTTTGTGTTGTCAGTTGAGAAAATTATAACATACGCAAACCTTATTTCTATCTCACGAAAATTGAAGCATTTACTTAATTACTATCACCACACGACATTTTTTGTCAGCAAAGCAACTCTGGCAAACCTTGTCATTTGTCACATGCAAAACCTATAACTTACACCCTATATTCAAAAAATCTGCCATGAAGGAATCCTATTATTACAAGTAATCAAAATGACCATACTACCCTTGTACAAGAAAAAGTAAATATAAAATAAAGACAATTAATTGGTCATCCACTGGGTATTTTGGTCATTTTGATCTACCATCTGTATCATGAGGTTTTTGTCTCCCTATTCTATAACTAGGGTCATTATCATTTTCAAACTATAATATCTATCCTGTGATATTTGACTAGATACCTCTTTAAAACTAAATATTACCAACAAAGATATTATTATATATTATTGTGTAATTTTATAAGTGAAGTTTAGGGTTGTGTCTATCCGTCTTATTCCTACTTTATGAAAATAGAAAAATTATTTTTGATGTTCATTGGCTCAAGTAAAATTTATTAAATCAAGTATGAAAATAAAATAGATATATTAACAAAGAAGTCATGCTAAATAAAGAAGAAAAAAAAAATATCAACAATAAATAATATGATACTGAAGTAAAAGATCATAACAAAACAACAAGAAAACTGAGGACTATAGTATAAGAGTAATAGAAGTAATAATTTTAAATACTTTATGATATTTAACTCTTAGAACCACTTATTCAGAAAAAAATATATTAAATGATAGTAGTGTAAAATAGATTAAGTGCCCGTTTGGATTGACTTATTTTAGGTGCTTTTAAGTCAAAATAGCTTTTAAATAGTTTTGAAGTGTTTGAGTAAAGTTAAAAAGTGCTTATAAGCACTTATTTTAAAGTCAAAATAACAAAAATAAGCCAAAAGTTATAAGTTAGAAATCCTAACTTATGGCTTTTGGCTTATAAGTCATAAGCCAAAAGCCAATCCAAACAGACCCTAAATAGAGTCCAAATAATTTTTCTGAGTAATAGAAGTAATAATTTTAAATACTTTATGATATTTGACTCTTAGAACCTCTTATTCACGAAAAAAAAATATTAAATGATAGTAGTGTAAAATAAATAGAGTCCAAATAATTTTTCTTTTATGGAGTGCTATACAACAAAAGATTCCCTCAAGTCTTTAAAACCCCCGCTAAATATGAACTAAACTATCTCATGATATTCTGAATCTAGCTCATATATAAAATGAGCGAATAATCCAACTCTTAAAACATATTTCATATTTAGATGGCGAAAAATCGACATCAAAATGCCTACTTTTTTCATTAAAATAATTTTGAATTTTTTTTTTCAATCATTTTTAGATATTCCTTATCTGTTTTGGGCTCGATTTAATATTACAAACTAAAACATATAACCTTCCCCTAAAACAATAAAGAAATAAGGTGGGGTGGGGTGGGGATGGAACAAGAAAACAGAGAATCTACAAACAGCTACTACTCTGCAACAACTTTTGCCCCCTCCCATACTTTTTTCCTGTCCATAAACTATCTGTGCTACCATGTCAGCTTCTGGACAAGTTATTAAAAAAAAATCAAAATTGTTTGATTCACATATTAAATTATTTCGAGATTATATAATTAAAATTGAAATTAAATTTATACTAAAAAATTTCATTGACAACTCAAATTTAATCGCAAGATATGATAAATTAAACTAAACTAAACTAAAGATATTTCATCTTATTCTACATATCAAACGAGCGTTAAGTGAGTACTAGAGTAAACTAAAGAATAAAAGGTAAAAATATCAAATATGGACCATTCTACTTAAATCTTTAAACCCTATATCATTATCTATAGATTTTCAATAGTAATTCTTGAACTGTTAACAAGGACTTCTCCTTAGAAGTTGCTTTCATGACTAATTATATTACTAAAATCAATGCATGTAAAACAAAGTTTTCTGTTTTTATGGTAATTTCAATGTTTTATTCTCTTGTTTGTCTAGCCCTTTTCACTCTGCATTTTAATTGTCATTTTGTTGCTTGTCTTCTTTAATTTCTGTTCCTAAATTATTCTTCTGTTTCATTGGGCTTTATAAAACTTCTCTTAGGATTTTTCTTCCATGAGCTTTTCATTTTTTTTGTAAATTTGTAATTTTATTGGAAGTTTCAAACTTGCTTTCCTTATTTGGATAAGAATCTTTTTGCCCATAGCAATTTTTGATCTGATCCAATATTGCATTTACTCTTTTGTCTTCAAATTTGGCTTTTTTCAGCTTTGTAGATAAAAGGGTACTATGAAAGATTTGAACTTTTGGAAGAATTGGACCTAAAGTAAGATTCTTGAAGTTGACAAAAGTGTGAAATTTTTGAAATTTTATTGCTTTTTTGGAGAAGATGCTGTGTGCTTGTTCAGGTGAGCAATTCAAATTTGATGAGCCACCACCAGAGTCTCCTGAGTCATTGGCCACAAGGGATTTTTCAGCTAGTGGTATTTCTTCAAGAAATGGAACAGTAGATTGGGATTCAAAACTTGATGATGCACAAGTTGATGAAGTTGAATCAACTTTAAAAGAGGCACTTTCCTTGAACTATGAGGTAATAGCCTTAACACCCTTAAAACTTATTTAGCATTTGAGTTAAAGATACGAGTTGATTTCTCATATGGTCACTCAAGAATAGTTGGTATCTGATAAAGTTACATTTTTTGTTGAAAAAAAATTGAATTTGGTGATTTTCTGAGATAATAAATATTAGTTGAGTGACTAACAGATAGTTCATATAGCCGACTCTATCTTGTTTGGTATTGAGGCATAGTTGATTGATTGATGATTGATCGATTTGTTCACCCGATTTAGTAGCATTGTCTCAAGGTTTATGTAAGTAGATTTGGCTCTTTTGTGGTTTGGGGTGCAGGAAGCAAGAGCTTTGTTGGGGAGGCTAGAATATCAAAGAGGGAATTTTGATGCTGCCCTTCAAGTGTTTCAAGGAATAGATATTAGAACCCTGTCTTCGAGAATGTCTAAAGCCATTTCTGAGAGAACAAGGCCCTTAAAACCGCGTTCCAAAGGTGATATCGTGCCTGCTGGTGTAATGTCACTGCATTCTGTGAGTTTACTTCTTGAAGCAATTCTGCTTAAAGCAAAATCCTTAGAAGAGCTCAGCCGAATCAAAGGTAAAGCTGCTCCTCGTTATGTTATTTGGTATTTCTCCTTAATGTTATTTGGTTGTACTATGCTTAGCATCCAGAGTTGTCGAAGACTAAAAATGTATTGTCAATCTTAGTTCTGTATGCCATTGATAGATGAACTCAATGCTAATGGATTGAAGGGTGAGTTGTCGGCTTTTTGGTACTGATGTAGCTGCATATGATTTTTAACTCATCAGATGCTGCAAAGGAGTGCAAGATGATGCTGGATGTTGTCGATTCAGCATTACCAAATGGAATACCAGATGGAATTTCTGAAGACTGCAAGTTATTGGAGATGTTTCATAAAGCACTCGAGTTACTTCCGAAGTTATGGATACAAGCAGGATATTTGGATGAAGCTGTGCTTGCATATCGAAGGGCGCTAATCAAGCCATGGAATTTGGATTCCCAAAGATTGGCCTGTATACAAAAAGACTTAGCCACCACTTTACTCTTTGGAGGCGTTGAAGTTGAGGTTCCTGCTCAATTTCAAGTGTGGGGTTCAACAGCCCCTAAAAGTAACTTGGAGGAAGCAATTCTCTTGTTGTTTGTACTCATGAGCAGAATGCTAAATGGTCAAATAATATGGGATTCTGAAGTCATGAGCCATTTGACATTCGCGCTGACAATTTCTAACAACTTTGAGTCTGTTGCAGATCATATTGAGCAGGTTATTCCTGGAGTTTATACCCGAGCAGAGAGGTGGTATCTACTTGCTCTTTGTTACAGTGCTGCAGGTCAGAATGATACGGCATTGAACCTTGTCAAGAAAATTTCTGGATGTTCGGAAGCCAACCAAGAACCTTATATTCCATCTCTCTTGTTAGGAGCAAAGCTGTGTTCTCAGGATCTGCAGCAAGCTCACGAGGGGATAAATTTTGCTCGTCAAGTAATTAACTCGGCCAAAAATCAAGACGAACATTTCCTAGTTCAAGCTCATAAACTTCTTGGCGTCTGTTATGGAAATGCTGCAAGAGTTTCCCTTTCGGATTTTGAAAGAAATTTCTGCCAAAGAGAAGCATTAGCTGCCTTAAACTCAGCTTCAGTTTGCAAGGAGGATCCAGAAATTATGTTTATTCTTGGATTAGAAAATGCCATCCAAAGAAACTTGACTCCAGCTTTTAATAATGTAATGTGCTACTCAGAAATGTCGGCTGGAAGTACAGCGAAAGCTTGGAAGTTGTTGGCTTTAGTCGTTTCTGCAGAACAGAGATTCAAAGATGCTGAAGCCATAGTTGATCTTGCTCTCGATGAGACTGGACAAATCGACCAAATGGAACATCTCAGATTAAAAGCTGTCCTTCAAATATCTCAACAACAGCCCAAGCAAGCCATAGAGACATACAGGATTCTGCTTGCTTTGATTCAAGCACAAAAGGAGTCTGCGACAAATGATGTGGTACACACCTTTCTTTTTAAAACTTCCTCTGAGAAAGTTTTGAGTATACATATCATTCTGACAATCTGATATATGAAATCCCCACAATACGATACGTGGAATAATTTTTGTTAAGGAAATTGGAGGTCAAAGTTTTTTTGTTTGGGCTGCAGGTAACTTCTCAGAGAAGATTAGAAGTTGAAGCATGGCTTGATTTAGCAGGATTATATACAGATCTTGAGTCGTGGCGTGATGCTGAAATATGTATAAACAGAGCCAAAGCAATTCAATTTTTCTGCCCGCGGAATTGGCATGCAACAGGTCTTAACATAACTGTGCAAAATATATATGTTTCTTTCTCAGTAACTAAAAATGATTCTTTAAATACTTTTAGGTGTATTATTTCAAGCTAAAGCAAGATATAAGGAAGCTCTTGTTGCCTTCACAGTTTCTCTATCAATAGAACCAGATTATATCCCCAGCATTGTTTCTACAGCTAAAGTCCTTATGAAGATGAGTAACGACGTAGCCCCTATTGCTAGAAGCTTTTTAATGAATGCTCTACGATTAGAACCAACGAACCATGAGGCATGGTTTAACCTTGGAATGCTTGCAAAGATGGAAGGATCAGTCCATCAAGCAGCAGATTTTTTCCAAGCTGCACACGAGTTAAAGCTTTCTGCACCAGTTCAAAATTTTATCTGATAGTGACTACTAATTCAAGGCAGAAAATGAAAACTTGACTTCAGCCATACATCCATTAGCAATTTGTTAATAGCGTAGACGTTTGTGACTGATTTATGAAGTCTATCTGGTTCTATATACTTCCCAACATGAACAGGATAGTACTACCTATCGATGTTGATGAACAACATCTCTGACAGGCTAATGGACATGCTACGGAAGTAGTATCAGTACTCATGGTATTTTGTATCAGTGTATATAACAATTAGTACATCTTTTTGCTGGCTTTTGGAGTAATATCTTGATCTCACAGTTGTTTTGCTTCTGCTTACAATCAAGCACTGAACATTTTCATTGAAAGTACTCTTTGTTCTGTGTTTAGATAACTGCAATGACCCAATACAACATGATTGTAACTACGAACTCATACGAGTATATCTAAACGTTCACTATGTATTTCGTGCTTGTAAGTCTCGTCGTGCTCATTCTTGTTTCTTTTATGACACCTGAAAAATTCCTGGGGATCAACTAGTACATGGAAACTCGATGGATAATAGGCTTTGTTTGTGCTAATTTGTAGGCATTTTGATTTTTGCAGTATGTATACTTTACCACTATGATCATATGAAGTTGTTGAGTCTGAACCATCTTCATTGCATTGGAAAACATTTGAATATTAGCTAATGCCTAAAGAGTCGAGAGTAAACGATCTCTCGACCTTCACAAGGTCCGTGTACATACTACTCTCTCCACACTATATATGTGGAACTACACCGCGTTTGTTGTTGTTATCGTATTTTCTTCATTTGTAGTAAAAATTTTGAGCTAATTCAAAATTTGATTTTGGCTCTACAACGCATATGCGACGTCGTACTGATTATTGTCATTATTAAAAGCAGTGTTTTAAAAGATTGTGTTGGACTCGTCTCGAGGTTCGCCTTGGGGCGGGGCTATGGCAAAATGCACCAGATTTAGTTCTGTGAGATTTACATCCTAAGCGTTCGAGTGTATGTTCTAAACACGCTCAACACATAACGCTTGAGGCACGCCTATTAGATCTTACATAAATTATGTGTTTAATTATTTAGTTAACGTTGTTGACTCTCATGATTCTTTAATAAATGAATGATACTTAATAACTTTTCATCTATTGAAATAAAAAAGATTGAGAGTAACTCAAATAACAAAGGCCAATAACAAATCATAGTATTGTATATATTTGGTAATATCGGGTGATTATTATTTAATAATTCTTTTAAAAGTACCTAGCGAAGTTTTACATTTTTACTTTTTATTAGTCTTCATATTTTTGTCATATATCTCAAAATATCATATTTTATTATTTCGCTATTTAAAAATAATTTTATATTTATTCATGACGGAGTAATGTTTTATTATACTACTAATAAGTTTTATTAATTATTTTCTTTTAGGGAGGTAAATTGCATAGGATAATAGTAATATATTTTTAGAAATAATGATTCCTTTATTATTTAAAAGATAAGATATTAAAGTTGATTTGCGTCTTATAATAATTTTTATATCATTATATTATTTATACTTGTAAATTCATGTTAGAAATTTTATTTTCTATGAGTTTCCTTAACCACATTTTTTATTATTTTAAACTATTAATGTATTTTTATATTTTTTTTTGTTATTGTATTACTATTTTATGTATATTATAAATTAAAGGGAAAAGGGTCTGATATACTCCTCAACTTTGTCATTTAGAGCTGATATACCCCTCGTTATGAAAGTGGCTCATATATACCCCTAATTATATACAAATGGCTCACATATACCCTTTCCCTCTAATGGAAATGAAAAAATAATAATTTTAGTTTAATTTTTTATTATTATTTAAAAAAAAAAAACTATAATCCCATACGGGTATATTTAATATTCCTCAAACATATTTTTTTGACTTTTTTTTTTGTTCAATGACTAATTTAGATTTATTATTTTGATGGTCAAATTTATTTATATTTCATTAATATTTTTGTAAAACTTATTATAGATGCCAATTTTTTTTTCTTCAAATACAAAAATTAAATTACAATATAGACAAAAAAAAAATTGTTTTAAATTATAATATAGCCACAAAAAAATAGTTTTAAAATTTTTTTTCTTTACACTAAGGAATGAAAGAAAAAATAAAATAAGAATAAGAAACTAAAATAATGAAAATCAAAGAAGTCAAAAATAATTTATGTATGAAAAAAATTGAAATATACCTTGAACTTTGCTAGAAGAATCCTATATACCCCTAAATGATTTTTTTTTTTTAAAAAGTCAAAAATATAAGTTTAAAATTAATTTTTTCACTTCCGTTAAATGAAGGGTATATGTGATCTCATTTTATAACGATAAGGGTATATGTGAGTCGTTTGTATAACGGCAAGGATATATATGAACCACTTTCATAACGAGGGGCATATCAACTCCAAATAGCAAAATTGAGGAGTATATCAACCCTTTTTTCCCTAAATTAAAAATTTAAAAATACATACCCTTTTAAAACACTGACTAAAGGCATAGCAGTAAATCCTACTTAAAAATAGCTCAAGCTTCAACTAAGCTGACCGGAGACGATGAGTAATCGGCTGTTAAACTCTCTCCGGCCAACCGAAACCCTAGAACTCGAAGGGGGACTTTCTCTAGTTCCACGAATTAAGCTTCTCTTAACAGTCTACCGTGCTGACAAGTCCGTTAATCCGTTCGACGAATGGAAGTTCAAGCGATCACTGATTGATTACATGAAATCTTCATTCTTCATCACTGTTCCTGAAGAGGACCTACAAATCCGGAAATTCAAAGATCTCAACAAGCGCAAGCGCGAGGAGCCGGTGGCGCGCGGTCGCCTTTTTGTTCACGACTTAGGGTTTCTGTCGAAGGTGATTGGGGAAACTGGCGATGATGTGGAGAGAGCTGATAAGAAGTTTCTAGAATGGAGGAGAGGATTTGTGGAAAAATTGAATGGGATTGAGCTGAATTTGGAAGGTACGAAGTTTAATTTGAATGTAGCTGTGCCGGTGTCGGATGATTTTGAAGGAATGAAGAAGGAATGGGAAGAGATTATTGCTTTTGGTGCTCGTGGTTAGTAAAGATTTTATATGTTTTAGTATTTTGGATATAATGCAGTTGAATTATAATGCTGGTACACTTGCTTTTTATTTATTTAGAGATTTGTATGTTAGTAGAAAATGTCCGTTATAGAATCTTATGGAACGGAGTGAATCTCGATGTATATTTCCTTGTTGTAGTAGCCGGAAGAAGAAAACAAGAATAGTGAAGAAACTTGATTGTTATAAGAAGAATAATATCCTGTTTATCTGTTCTATATAACTTGCCCTCAATGTAGAAGTCCATGTGATGAATGCAATTTGATAGTTAGATAAGAAAATCTGGAGTTTAACTTTTGAATGAGGAGCTAAGAAGAAAGGATGCTCAAGAACAGATTTTTTAGTTGTTGTATGGTGTAAATGGAAGACATTTTGTTTCAGTTTATGTACATAAGGGTTATGAAGCTGAAACTACTAACAACTTGAGCTCACTCAGTCTAAAGTATCAAAGCTTCTGTCTGTTTTTGTATTTTGAATGATTACTTGGTTCCTCGTTATATTGTTGGTGAAATTCATGACTGTGTGATATGATGTGCCAGTGTAAATGGTCCATGCTTTTCACAGGGTTGGTACCTTGAAGTAATTGTATCTCCTATTTTCTTCTTTACAGGATATCAGAGGAGTGCAAAGATGCAGCCAGATACAATCGTGTTGAAAGGTATGCCATCACGATGGTTTGCAGAAACGAGGGTCTCATCTAAGCCCTCTATGCTGGTTACTCACACAATTGTTTCCGTGCTTGGAAAGATAAGGCAAGTGCTATTAGTTGTTTTTATATCATCTATTAGACTGTTTATGAAAAGTTATTATCTGTTTGACTACTTGTTTGACATTTGAATTGTTTGTTATGGTGTTGAAAGCTGTCTATTTGTTCATGGATACTTGCAGCAGTAGCTTCATGTATATCTTGTTCACTTGACTAATATATCAAATGCTTTTTTAACCATTGTTGAGAAAAAAGTTTCCTAAAGCAATCTTGATACCTACTAAAAGTTCTTTCTTTAGAAATGTAATTACCTACCAAAATTTGTTAAACAATCACGTCTCAACTACATTCAACTATGTGCTGCGTAGAGCTGGAGACTGCCATATTCTGTACTTTGCGTCCCTATTTTTTCCTCTTCCTTGAAAGGGTCTACTATGCTTTTATTTATTTCATTATTCCCATTTGTCCAAGAAAAGATAGGAAAGAAACTTGCTGATTGCTCACCCTCTCTTTCCAGATTTTAGCTCTTAAGCTTATTATATATACATACAACTATTTTGGTAATTTCATCTTTTATTTGGCTTATCTTATTTTTTTCTTCGGTAGGAATCTTCATGTTGCTGAGGACAATAGTATAGGTGACGGTGCAGATGAAGAAGACATAGTTTCTGGTCTTCATTGTAAGATTGTAGTGCGGTTTGAGAAGCACAAGGACTTCCATGACGCCTTGAAGATTTTGTGTGGTCGCTCATTGCAAAAGGTATATTTGTTGGAACATCAGTCTATTATTTTTACTTTTCCTATAGTTAGTATCCTATGGTACTCTGAAGAGTAGCAGTTGCTCTGCCAAAACTGAAAGAAATGAAACGGGTTTGACATATTTAAAAGAAGGAAAAATTTGAGGTGTGTCTATATTGTAATTGATGCTCTGATGAAACATATTGGAGAAATGTACTTTATCGGTTAGTCTTCTCGTCTTCTTTAGCACTCAAAGATGATTATGAATGAAATATCTAACATGTGCTCGGATATATGTATAAACAATTGACCCTTTGGGGTGGCCCAGTGGTTTGGGCTTGGAGCTTCCATGTTGTGGAGGTCTCAAGTTCAAAGCCCCTTGCTAGCAAAAGCAAGGGGTTTGCCTTCTGGGTTGAGCTCGTCGCATCGGGCTTGCCTAGTGTGGGTTACCTCTCCTATGTAGTTAGCGAGTTATTGCATAGGAGCGGGGGTTTTACCCTGTGTGCACCCAAAGGGTAGCGGCTGCGGGTTTTCCTTGTCATCAAAAATAAATTATATGTATAAACAATTAGGCTTTACTCAACTACTACTTTAACAAGTTTTCATCAAAAAGCCTAGTTCTTTAATAAGTGTTGCAAAGTCATACTCCCTTTATCTTATTTTACGTGACACACTTTCCTTTTTAGTCTTTCTCAAAAAGAAGGTTTTTTGGTAAATCATGTGATTTATAATTGTGCAGCAAGGATCACAACTCAGAGCTGATTATGACGTGACTTGGGATAAAGACGGATTCTTCCTAGATGCTAGACATCAAATAGAAGAAAGAAAGAGAATGCCAGCAAGAGGAATGGAAGAAAGAGATGAAGGTCATAGGCAACACTCGCGAGTCTCTCAATTTAGTTCTGAGGAAGGACGGAAGAGA